ACCATTTATTTTAACATAAAGACGCAAAGCGGCGAGGACGAAGTCCATGACCAAAAATAATGTTTAGGGTAGAAGGTTAGATCTAACCTCATTTCTACCCTCATTTCTACCCTCACGAATTTTCATGAATTCCTTAAGATAGAAAAAATAACGCTAATTTTTTTCTAACAAATTTTTTTATTTTGTATGTAAGAACAGTAATGTCAGTCGAAGCAAAAACGTTCACGAACAAATCTAATGGCGAAACATTCACAAAAGGCACTTATAACGGTATTGAAGTCTTACGTAGAGACAAGGATGGTTACATTAATGCAACAAATATGTGTCAGCAGTTTAGGAAAGACTTTAGAAAGTTGTTGGAAAATAAGTCCTGGGAAGAGTATTATAAGGCGTTTTGTGAAGAATATAGCAACCGCCGGAATACAGACGGTTGGTTTTTATACAAAATTCATGCAGGAATTCCTGATGAAATCAAACAGGTTAGAGGAACGTATGTAGACCCAAGACTTATAAACTATATAGCAATGTGGGCTTCTCCAAAATATTGCATAGCAGTTGGAAAAATTATGGACTCCATAGACAAGAAAGTTCATGAGAAATTAGATGAAGAAGAACTTGAAGATACAGTAGAGAATGCTAAACCTTTGTTCGAACAAGAAGTTAGAAAAATGCGCGAAAAACAATTAGAACATGAACGTGAGATATGTTATGGTTATAGAGATTCTCCATACGAACTAGACCAATGGGAACAAGAAGATTTAAAGAGAGAATTTAGAGAATATGAACTCGCTAAGATAGCATTAGAAGCTGCAGAAAAGAAGTTAAAAGTTTGGGGTCGTTTTGTACAAAAATATTGTGAGTAAATGAACCATTTATTTTGTCATAAACGACCAAAAATAATGTTTAGGGTAGATGGTTAGATCTACCCTCATTTCTATCCTAGCCGCTTTGCGGCTCTGACCCTTTGGGTCTCATGAATTTTCATGAATTTCCTTAAGATAGGAAAAAATAACGCTAATTTTTTTCTAAGAAAATTTTTTATCTTGTATAAAAGATATGATTTCAACAATCGGCACAACAACAATTCAAACAACTTCACCAAACTCGTTAGTCATGAATCCAACATCTATGTTAGTAGAAATGAAAAGCTTCATTCCTTCTTCATATACTTTTGAAACAGAAATCCAGAAGATAAAGCAAGAACTTTTAACAAGTAATTTAGACTGTACCGCACAGGATGAAGAAAATGAACAGTATCTTTATGAAATGCAGGATATTATTGACCATTTACCCAAATTGCCTGAAATCCAACAACAAAAGCTCACTATTCCTGAGTTCGATGAAATAGAAGTGAAACCAACTGACTCAGTAGAAATAAAGAAGTTCATACGTAAAGTAAACTATGAGTTTCTAGGATATCATTGCAACCATAAAGTTATGGACAAAGATTGCGACATGGTATATAAGAACATCTCTGACATATATAAATCGGTGGAGTTTAAGACATACGACAACTTTGTTTCATTAGTTGCAAAATGTGTATGGCAGATAAGAGATAAAGATAGAAGAGGTAAGGTATGGAATGAACAGATAAAACCAACTGCTTCAGATTTAAAGAAAACCATTGACGCCTTGGTTGTTTTAGCAGGTAAGGTTTCAGAATATAACGCAAAAACGATGCCGCAATGTTCAAAATGTAAGGCAGCAATGAGGAAATATAACTACTCCGTCAAAGAGATAGAACGTATGAGAAACGACTATGCAGACTTAAAGAAAGAAGCAGAAAAGCCGGCAGAAAATAAAATGGACATGTTAGAATTTCTGAACAAAAACTATCCAACTGCTGACGATTTCCTTCTATCTGACGTCAAGAAGAAGTATAAAGAAACTTTCGGCATTGTTAAAACTTTTGATATATTAACTGAAGAAATAGAAGCTACAAAACTGTTTAGAATCTCACGAATTCATAACGTTTACCATGTAAAACGGTTATAAATAATGAGGGTAGAAATGAGGGTAGATCTAACCTTCTACCCTAAACATTATTTTTGCTGAAAAATGACCAAATTTCATGAATTTCATTAGTTAGAAAAATAACGCTAATTTTTTTCTAAGAAAATTTTTTATCTTGTATGTAAGAAACAGTAATGACAACATCAGAGAACACAACAATTGCTATCGTTCATGAAGCCATAAATGAAGAATATGAATACATACAGTATAACAAACAGTTACGTCTCATTCGTTCAGTCAAAGACGATATGTATCAAATGCAAAGTATAATGAATGCTCTTTGTTCTACAAAGCAAGCATATCATTGGTTTGAAAACCAACAGACAAAAGAACTTTTAGAAGAATTTCCTCATATGATTGCTTCCCTCGGAAAACCGGGGGAAGAGATTCCGTACGAAAATCGCAAGAATTTGGCACCTGGTTTGAAAGGTTATTATATTCATAGACTTTTAGTAAATGCTGTAGCAATGTGGGCTTCACCTCGTTATGCTTGTTATATTTTCATGATGTTAGATGAACTATATAAAGCAGAACGTGGAGAGTTGGAAAAGAAACTTCATGCAAAAGATGAAGTCATTGAATCCAAAGACAAAAGCATACAGAAAAGAATACCGCGTTCGGTACCAAAAGGTAAGGAAAAGAGTTATAAGTATATGATATATACCGAAGAGTTGGAGAAAGAAGAAGATAAAGATATGGTTATGTTGCATTTAGTCAGAAGAAACAACAAGAGCTTTTATGACTTAGCTAAAATATATAAATCTGACAGAAACTGGTTCTATCGTGAAAACTTACCGATTTCAATGACACCGAATGAGCAAATAAAGGAAATTGTCAAAAATACTCTTCCTCAAACACACTATGACATCAAAGGTTGCACAATACTTACATTCAAAGAAGACTTAACATTACTGAAGGAAAAAATAACAGAATATTTCGATATCTTCAAAGAGGAAGAATGAAGTCACGACAACATTAACGAAGAAGTCACGACAACATTAACGAAGAGAGAATGAGGTGAAAAAAGAGGTGAAAAACGGGTGAGATCTCACCTCTTCACCAAAAATATATTTTTGCTTAAATAGCTTCAGGGTCTATTTCTTCAACCATTTCACTTCCTTCGTCAATGTCAATAGAAGCTTCTTCAACCTTTGGTAAGAATTTCTGTATAACATCTTTGTTCGTTATTGTCTTCAGAGATGAAGGATAATATTTCACATTTGTTTCACCCTTCTTATATTCTTTCTGTTCGGAAAGATTCATAGCAATACTGAAGAAGTCAACGTTAGAGTTCTTTATAACAGTATAATGAGTATCTTTGACATTCACGAAGAAACTCTTTTGTTTCAAAACTACTGCTAACTCTCGTGAAGTATAACGTTTGCGGTCAATGACGATAGCTAATGGTCTGACATACTGACCGAACTTAGATTCTTTCACAAACTTCTTGTTAAAGATAACATTAACATTTGAAGCATTATTGAACTCATTCTTGATGACAGTAGCGAGAGCATTGTATGAAAAGAACTTGCAATCTTGCATGTGTTTCATTAAAATAAAAAGTTTGAAATATTTTAAAACTAACCTTAAAAAATCTAAGCTAATTTTTTTCTAAGAAAATTTTTTATTTCCTACTAAAGATGTATCGGAAGTTGTCTAAGTTAGAACACTCGGAAATAAAACAACTTCTAACAGAAGCTAACATAGAAGTAGCAAAACATTACGCAACAAACAAAAAAGCACTCGCTGACATCCTCAATGACTACAATGGTGCAATAAGTTATGATAGAATTCATGAGTTCATAAAGCCGCAACGCGGCGAGGACGAAGTCCATGCAAGAGCATTTCCTTTAAATGACGTTGCTATTGACTTATATCATAGACGTTCAGTACCTCATGAAGTAAGAAGAGAAATGTTTGACATAACAAATGCAAACGTTGGTGAAACAAGAAGAAGAGACGACACACTGAAACAACAGAGAAGAGAGATGTTTAAGAGCGCTATAGAACAAGTTCGCAAAGCTAACGATGTCATTCGTTCCATTGACGACAAACCAAAAGAAGGTGAGAGATGGTTAAAGAAAGATGAAGAGAATAGGAAGAGGAATGTGAAGTCAGGCAATAGACTCATTGACTTTAACATCGAAGCTTTAGATGAATCAAACAGAGACTACTTACACAAACATTTCGGTAAGGTTTTCATGAGACTCTTAGAGAAGATTAAAATAAACTCACAACAAAGATGGATGGTATGTTATAAACTTGGTGGAAAGTATGAATGTTCTACGTTAAACCTCAATAATATTGGAACATTACTACATCAGCTCTTGAAGGAGAACTTTATATCAGAGATAGAAGCAAACGCTGCAGGTATTGTTGAAATGCACTATGACTTCTTCTTGACAAACATAAAGAATCTTACTGAAATAAAGATGTATGATTTAACTGAATATGAAGGCTTAACAATGTCAGATGTTAAGAAAGGAAAGCCACAGAAGCGACCATATAGAGATGAAAGCACACTGACAAATGGCCAGAAAGCCATTTTGGAAGCTCTTAAGCAAACAGGAAACCCAGCACTTATAGAAAGCTTTTGGAAAGATAATGGTGAAAAGAAGTTTTATAAGAAGAGAAGCGGTCAGTTCTGGAAGTATCTTTGCACATTACCTATAAATCTTGAACGCTACCAAATCTTCAATGAACTGAACAAAAGAACTGCAGCACTTATGACAGAAGACAATTGTTTCGTTTATGCTTGCATTCAGGCTGGAGTAAATGAAGAAACTATTGACCACATGAGAGAAGTCATTCGTGTTAGAGACTTTCCTCAAAGTAAAGTACAAGAAATTTCTGACGCAACAGGTATAGCATTTAATGTTACCATTGGTTATTTCGACAACTCCAAAGATAACAGAATAATTCACTACATACCAAAAGAATGTGAAACTGCTCGAACTATTGACTTACTTCTTGTTGAAGACCACTACATGCTAAATGAAAGATTACCAATGACAAGATACTTCATCAGAAATTACAGAGAAATCTTGAAGGAGTGTGGTGGAATGAACATTGAGAAACAGATGAAGATTTATACAAAGAGAGAGAACAAATATGTTGTTCGTAATGATAGAACTACACCTCTATGGGATGTTATGAAAACATTGTGGGAGTGTAAATATTTCGAACCTATTTCTTATGGAGAACTTTTCACATATACGACTGACTTATATAAACAGAACCTTGCACCATTTAAAGACTTGTCATATTCTCCTAAGTATTGTGTTCGACAGAAGGAGAAAGCAGAGTCAAAAGAAGTAAATAAAGCTAAGTGTAAGTTCATTCCTGAGCACGTTTTCTTTGCTGACTTTGAGTGCAGTACCGATGGCTTTCATAAAGCTTTTAACATATGTTACGACAGTGAAGATGGTTCAGTGAGTGAAAGCATTTGGGGTCAGAACTGTGCAACAGAATTTTTGGAACGACTTCCTGACAAGAGTTTAATATATTTCCATAACCTCAGTTATGATATAAACTTCATCTTAAGACACATGACAGAAGTGAAAGGAACTCCCATCATTAAAGGTTCACGAACAATGCAAATAACTGGCTTATATAAAGGAAGGGCAATTATTATAAAAGACTCTTACAGTGTTATAAATAAGAAGCTTAAACTATTTCCTGCTATGTTTAACTTACAAACAGGACCGAAAGAAGTATTTCCTTACAACTACTACAGCAGTACTTTGTTAGCAAATGACAACAGAACTGGTGTCATTTCTGAAGCGTGTAAGTTTATCCAGGATGCAGATACATTCATGAAAAACATAGATTCCATCAAAGGTTGCAGAATAGATGAGAACCACTTCGACTTAGAAAAGTATAGCACATTCTATTGCAAACAAGATGTAAGAATTTTAAGAGAAGGTTTTGTTAAGTTCCGCAATGACATATTGAAAGAGTTTGATTTAAACGTATATGACTACGTTAGTATTTGTTCAATTGCTAACAAATTGTTTGAGAACAGAGTGTACTTCCCGAATGGAAATTTATATGACCTCTCAAATAAACCAAGAGAATTTATTTCACGCTGTATTCAAGGTGGAAGATGTATGCTGTCAGATAACATGAAACAAAAGAGCGAAAAGAAACTCATTGCTGACTTCGACGCTGTTTCATTATATCCATCCGCTATAGCAAGACTTTATACTTTAGAAGGTATTCCAAAGGTTATGAAGAAAGAAATGTTAAGCACAGAGTATCTCATGAGACATTTATTCGATGACGACCAAAAGGAACCCATTGGTGAAAAGTTTATGTCCGGCTTCTTTGTTCTCATTAAGATAAAAGATTGGCATACATAGACACTTTCCTTTAATAGTTTGTGACCCTGAACTAAATCCAGAACTTAACGTTCCCAGAAGTTCAAACACTTGCTGTTTAATGTATGTTGACCATATAACATTACAAGACCTCATAAAATATCAAGGTGTCAAATGTGAAGTGTTGCAAGGATACTATTACGATGGAAACAGAGATATTAGAATAAGAGATGAAGTAAAGAAGTTGTTTGAGTTAAGGTTAAAGTATAAGAAAGAAGGAAATCCTTTGCAAGAAAATATAAAGCTCATTTTGAACAGTATTTATGGCAAAACTATTCTATCTCCTATTGAGTCAAAAATAACCATAGTAAATGACAAAGATGCTATAAGATATGCCATCAGAAACTACAACCATATAGTGAAGTTCGAAGGTTTGGATGGTTCAGATAAAACTATTTTCAAGCTAACGAAAAGCATTTGCAGACACTTTAACTTCTGTCCACTTGGTGTTAACATTCTGTCTATGTCGAAGAGAATAATGTGTGAAGTATTCTGTACTGCTGAAGATATGGGACTTCAAATATTTTACCAGGACTGTGATAGCATGCATATTTTCAATGAAGACATACCAAAGCTTGCAGCAGAGTTTAAGAAGAGATACGGTAGAGAACTTATTGGTAAAACATTAGGTCAGTTCCATTCTGACTTCGCAGAAATAACACCTGGAAAACAAAGTTTAGCATACAAGTCAATATTTTGTGGAAAGAAGACTTACATAGACTTACTCACTAACGATTTAAATGAAGTTGCATTCCATGCACGTTGCAAAGGTGTCAAACAAGACGTCCTTGCTTTAACAGCAAATGAAATGTTTCCTGAAGCTATACAATGCTATTACAATGAAGATAAGAACATTCACATACCTGTTGGAACATATGACAAAGACTCTGAGTTCAGTTTAATGAAACTTTACAAAGCACTTCATGATGGTCAAGAGATTGGATTTGACTTATGTAAGTCTTCTAGTCCTTGCTTTGCTGAAAAGTTTAACTTCTCAATAACGACTAAAACAAGCTTTATTCGTAAGTTGAAGTTCTGAGGTCATTTATTTTTGTCAGCAATGAGGTCATTTATTTTTGTCAGCAATGAGGTCATGAATGAGGTCATGAATGAGGTCATTTATTTTTGTCAGCAATGAGGTCATGAATGAGGTCATTCGTGATAAAAATAAAACTAGCGTAGATTTTACAATACTGCGATGGTAGAGTTTAAGAGTTGTGCTTCAATGTAGAGACGGTCCTTATGGTCTGGAGGTAAGAACACTGGGCAGTTATGGTCATGAGTGGAGAACATGTCTATCCAAAACTCACGATTGAAGCCAGTTAATTTATAGTATTTAGGGTTAGGAAGTGGTGAAGTTCGTGTATGACCAATGAACTCGTTTTCAACTCCCTTACTTAAGTTTGAATATAATATAGCTTGCTTTCTATCCCAAATGCCAGGTGTTACAATCTTTGAAAATTCATTTTTCCTCGGAAGCATTGCATCATAATTGAAAACATTCTTGAAATCATCACTTGGTTCAGAGATTTGAAATCTTATACGTAATGGATTTTCTTTCTCTTTAGCGACTTCATTGAATGGTGAGAATACAACAAACTGACAGTCATGTGTTCCATCTTCATTTTCATTAAATTCATAATGAAAGTCTATAAGTTGTGGCTGACTACCTTCTTCTTTCAGTTGTGCAAGAAACTCACGTAAAGGCTGTAAAGTTTGTACTTCAATGTTGAACTTTTTCTCGAACATCTCATTAAATGAAATCATACATTGCAACAATGTTGTATCGTCTTTAAAGTATTTGTATATGTGAATGTTTTGGGCGCTTAAAGACTGTTCGTCATTTTCTATCTCGACTTGAAGTATAAAGTCAACCTTTCTGAAAGCACGTGTTATATACATAGATGTTATGCCAATGTACTTCTCTTCATTTATGTTCACAATCCAGTCTGTTGGAAACTTAAACGTTACTCTGTTCCCCTTTATTTTGACGTCAGGGTTTTCACTACTGAATGCAACAGATAAAGGTATTTGTCTATACATTTAATTCGGATAAAAATAAACCATTTACTCTTTCTTTGCTTCAGCTTCTTTAGCTTTTGCTTCAGCTTCTTCTCTAGCTTTCTTCGCCAGCAAACGTGGGTTCTTTTGTCTTCCAGCAGCTAATGCAGCAAGTTGTTTTTCACTAAGTTTTCTCTTTGGTCTCTCTGGCTTTTGTTCTTGTTTTTGTTCCTTCAGTTCGGATAAAATTTGCTCGCGAATTTCTTTCTTCAATGCTTCAACATCTATGACCCCTTGGGTCTTGTCCGTAGGGCTTGTCTGAGTCATTTGACTGCGGATAAAAATCTAACTTAAAACTTTAACCGATGTAAAATGAGCTTGTCAAAATCAGAGCGAGAGTCTATTATATTAAATGACGCAAGAGGAATACAACATCCTTTCTATTACGTAAGTCAGAGTAAAGATGGTAAAATATACGTAAGAAAAAGAAAGGTTCCATTAGCGAATGCAGAAAGCGACAACATTAAGGTGCATGGCAAGGGTGAAGTCCACGAAGCCCATATAAAACCTTCTGTTCAAACTGAAAAGTCAATAGAACCAGAAGAAAAGAAGCCAGATGTACTTTCAATAACGAACCAAGAGCTTATTGCAAAGTTCGTGAATTTCATTGAAAAACAAATCGAGTCAAAGAATCCTGACCCGCCAGTGAAAGAAGTTGAGACAAAAGAGAATGTACAGTTCATTGAAAATGTCAAGAAACAACTTCCACCACGAATGCCAAGAAGAAGAGTGAGAATAATGAAGTAAATAGATATTTTTATCTGAAGTAAATACATGCAGAACGAACAGCTAAACGAATTTACTCCAGCAGAGCATATTCATCAGATTCGCTCATATTTCGATATCATAGACAATGCAGTTCAAATTGGTGACACTAATAGAAAATATTCTGACGCAAAGATTCCATCACAACCTGGAACTGCTAAAGATAACACATGGGTAACATTCAATCTCTCATCTCCTGGTGAAAATATGTTGGACCTTTACAATACATTCATTACGTATAAAATGGAAGGTCAATTTATTGTAGATAAAGAAATTGGTTCAGGTTCCAATAAAACAAACCCACCAGGATTTTGGATTGGTTTCGATGACGCTTTCTATGCAGTTGCTGGATATCAAATCCTTGCAAACGGTCGTATCGTATATTCTCAAGACAACGCAAGAGAAGAAGCATATATAACTTCAAACTCACAAACTACCGAACAAATAAAGAAAGTAGATGTTTTCTCAAAGACTCGACATGAAGATGTATGGAGTCATTCGGGAACATGCAGAACAGGACAAATTGTTAGTGGTCCAATTACAGCAGGAAAATCATTTGATTTAAAGCTTCGTTTAAGAATTCCTGTTAGAAGATTCCTTCCATTAGAAGCTATTCGATTTATTCCAGCTTTTGCAGGAAACATTCAGCTTAAAGTAAAGTTCAGTAGCGACGCCTTACAATGCACATCTATATCTGTAAATGATATCATTGCTTTCAATCCAACTCTTAAAGTTGCATTTGCTTCAGATTCAAATCCACCGACAAATAAATTTGTTCCATGGAATGAACCATTCACTATGATAACGAAGGCAGTAGAAGCTAGTGGAACAGTTACTATTACAACTGTAACCCAGCAACTATTTCGAACAAAGATGGATTTTAATGAATGTTTCATTCATCCAAAGTCATTCTCTTTAGACCCTAACATTTATACAGAACTTGTAGAACATTATACAAACGAGGCTTTATGTTTTCCTGTTAAAGTTATGGATTGGATTCCTATGGACGGTTCATTCTCAAAGAATACAGATAGTTCAAGTGCAACATTTACAGCAGCTTATACGCCTATTAATGTTAAAAGTATTTGGGCACTATTTAGAAAGAAAGACAACTATTATGTTAATTTTGAGAACCCTAAGTTTAAATATCTTCAGCTTTCCATGGGAGCTTATGGAAATATGCCTGCAGAACCTGAAAAATCATATGGACCTGTATTTTATGAAATGGTTGCGAACGCCTGCAATACAAACAATGATATGATAGGATTTAATGAAGATGTTATGAGGTCATTGGTGGATGATGGTAGTGTGAAACATAAATGGGATAGCTATGACAACACACATTTCTTATGTGGTTTTCCAACAGAAGTGGACTTTTGCTTCCAGCAAGGTCAAACATCTACTGCTCCAATAACATACAAATTGTCTGTTAAAGGACCTATTGAACTAGCAACTGAAAATGTACCAAAGCCACTTATTGGATTTATGAGGGATTGTTGCTTTGCCATTCAGGTGCGTGCTAATGGCATCCCCATAATAAGATTAGATGACTATAACTTAGCTACGGACGACAGTGAGGAATAAAGGATGAACGTTTATTTTTAAAGCTTATAAATGAGTTCTTCATCAAGCTCTCGTGAACCTTCACCATCTATGAAACAAACTTTACCAAACGATTATGGAGCACCTATTGAATATTTCTTACGAGCTGCACAATGGCAAAGAGCAGTCTCATCAAGGTTAGGTGTTCCACCAGCTCCTGTCAAAAATAGCATTTGGTCAAGTCCTTATATAAAATATGGTCTCCCACTAGGTTTGCTAGCTACAGCAGGAGCAGTTATGATGTTGAAAAGAAATAAAGCAAATGTTGTAAATAATACTGAAGTAGCTGAAGTTAAACAAACTCCAACACCTTCGCCAAAACCAACACCTTCACAAGCAAAACCTTCAATGACTCCTGAACCTATGGAAGTACAAACTCCTGTTCAAAAGTCAACTCCTAAACCGACTCCAACATTTAAACCAGAACCTACTCCTCAAATAAATCGTAAAACTCCTGCGTTTCCTTACTGAAAAAAATAACGTTATTTTTATTTTATTTGAACATTTTATTTAGAGTAAAATGACGACTAAAGTCACTGAAGCAATGAAACAAAAGTTTTTGGTAGAATACATTAAATCAGGAACTATTCCAGAAGGTTTTTACATTCATACTATGAAGGATGGTAGAGTTCAGTTTAGAAAGATAAAGCAACCATTAGATAAAGAAGGAATTTTGAGAAAGATTAAACTTCATGAGGACAACATTGCTGAACTTAAGAAGAAGTTAGAAGAGTTGGATAAAGGAAGAGAGTTATAAAGCAATGAATTCAACAGGGTAGAAATGAGGTTAGATCTAACCTTCTACCCTAAATTTATTTTTGCGCTATGTTTTCATACGTGTGAAGTCGTTAGTGAGAACGTTAGTGAAAACGTTAGTGAGAACGTTAGTGAAGTCGTTAGTGAGAACGTTTATTTTTTCATGCACGTGCATTGTGTCGCGGGGAGTTGCCATGGGCAATGACCTGCGCACAATATATAACGTACAGAGAGGTGAGATGAGGTGGTTTATGTGATAAATACTTTACGTGGCAGAAATAGTTTAAGGTTATTAGAAATATTGCATCTGCGATGTAAAATATACGTTAGTGGTTTTGTAAAGTGTCAGATTGACATAACTTTGGTAAGATGGCGCGCAGTGCCACCGTACTGAAGATATGTATACTAACTATCCTTTTACAAATTCCAAGTTGTCTTTTCTCGGTTAGATCTCTCACTTTGAACGACAGAGACTCAGTTTTATCTCATCTTTCAAGTCTTATTCCAGATCTTTTGAATCTTTTCATCAATAAATCTCTTTCATCTAACTTCATCTGATCATTTGACTTCAAACATATGTGTTTTTGTCTTTTTATTTTCCACGACATTGATCTCAAACATGAAAAGATTTTCAAAGTTCTCACTCAAAAAAAATAATAGAATTATAAAAATATCGAAGTCATTGATTCACCGATTCCATGAAGATGAATAAGCTTCGAAATGATTTTATTAAGATTTTCAATGTTATTTCCAAATAGACAGAGTTCTGTAGAATGAAGATGAAGTTCAATTGAAATGTCTTTATTTTGTCCAATTGAAACTCGTTGCCATTCTGGAAATAATTTTTCTTGTGTATCAATATATGAATTAGAAACTGTAATTGAACCCGAAGCATAATCATAAATTCCAAACAAATAACATCCATTCCGTTTGTTAGTTGCAATGAAACAGTTTTCAAATGTAGCAGAACACTTCCAACAATGAAACATTCCAGGATAATCACTATCATCTGCAGAAACAGTGTTGTTTGTGAAAACAATGCTGTTATATGTTGCTGGTTTGGATCCTACACAGCAAATTCTGGATGTTGCATGGTTTTCATCAATATTCGAATATTTGATTGAAATAGTGCCTTTGCCATCTCCTATTCCAAAAGCCGCATAATGTCCGCAATAGTTTCTCGTGATATTGTTTTGGAAAATGAAATATTGCCATATTGTAAAACAATTGTACTATATCCGACTAATTTTCCTTGATTACTATATGTGATAGAAGAATCTTGGATTTCATTGATATTAGTAGAAGCATTTGAAACTTTAATATAACAGAACTTTCCAAAGTCGGTAGATTTGGATCCAAAACTACAAACTTTTCGAATGGAACTTTGGCCTTGATTGATGTAGATGGAACCACCATCGCCGTTGCGGGATGAGTTTTCGAATGAATTTGATGAAATAAGAGACTTAACATCGGCAGAATTAAGGTTGATAACACCGTCGTCGCCAAGGTTACTGAAATAGACTTCACGGACATAAAAGTTGCCTGTGTAACCTATGTATGTTTGATTTTTATTGTAGATTTCAGAACTAAACGTAGTTTTGTAGACTTCTTCCCATTCATTCTTCGTGAAATGGAGCAAATTCGAGATATGTGATGCTCTTTTTCTATCATGTTACTCCGAATGAAATAAATATTTGATAAAAGAGAGATTTTGAAAGTTTGAAACTTTTATAAAAATAATAAATTTTGGGGGAATAAATAATTTTTATTGGGTCCAAAATTTTACAAAATTTTCATAATTCTCTCTGAGTCACAAGAATAGTATTAAACTTAATCACTATTTCATTTCTATAGTATCACTGTATCTGTACACCTTTCAATAATCAGAAATCGTTTAAACAATGAATTTTCATCGAAAGAATACAAACATTGACAAAGCCACATCTGATTTTTACAAACTATTATTACATGACTAAGCTTATCAATTTTGAATATATAAAAATCAGTCAAATTGTTTAAAAAACTTCGAAAATTAAGTATAAAAGATTCTTTTCTTCAAGTTAAAGACATTTTGTCATTAGATACTCAGTATTATAATGGGTGTATATCAATTGTAACACACTGCATAGATAATCAAATATATTCACCAGTAATTTTCGAGTTTTTAATAAACCTGTTCAATAGTTCATCAGATCTTGAATTAAAAGTCAATATATCGAGCACATTATCCGATATTTTAATCAAAACAAAAATTTGTGACGAAAACTTAACAACTTTTTACAAAGAGTGCTTACAACAAGAAATAATAATGAAACCCTTCCAATATTGAACGCATTATTACCATGTACAATCACTTTGCATGTTTAAATGAGACTCTTTCAACCTTTTACAGAATCACTTTTCTTTCGTTGCCTAAATGTGTCCTCTTCCTCATATCGAATACAACTGCGTTACACTTTCTTCATTCTCACAACATTTGGCTTTAGAATTAAAGCGTTTACTTTTTCTTGAAGACTTTCTCAGTCAGAACTACTAATAATAAGAATAAGAATATCTTTATCAATAATTTACAGATTGTTACTTCATCATTGATTCCGAAGTTCATGTCCTTTCATGCGTCAGCCACTGTTTACTTGATTACGACAAAATCGAAACATTTTCTCATTATTTTATTTCATACATTGAATTCATTAACTACGAAGATTCTATTTGTTCATTATTTGTTAACATTTTAATCAATTATTCCTTTGTTTCAAACATCAGTTTATGTTTTCAAAGAGATTTATCTTTCATAGTTACATTAAATATTCATCACTTTTCATTCTTACTTTCATCCTTAGTCATTACAACCAATATGTTTTTTGACTGTTCTATTCCACAATCTAACGAATTTTCTCTTTCTCAGTAGTTCAAGTACTTGATTGAGTACGAGTCCGATTTTTCACCAACTATTGTTTCAGAATCACTTGACTACGATTACTCATTCATTTTTTATTTTAATTTTTTTTACACACTTTCACATATTGAACTTTTCTTTCGAGATTCTACTATTTTATCCGTTATTTCTATGATCAACGTTGTTTGTGACAACATCAACAACGAATTCATTACCGACATTCTTTTCCTTCTTGTCAAACTTTCTCCACATAGTTTTTCAGATGTTTTAGATTATTTTTTTTTATCTACACTTGTTTGTCTTTTAAAACAATTTTTCATTAATCACACATTGTATTGTATCATTTTTTCATGTTTTGTATCATTGTCTAAATTTCCATAATTCCACAGTTTTGTTGTTAGCCTAGTTTGTCCAGTTGTTTTTAGTCTTCTTTCAGACTCTACATCAGTCTTCTGTGGTATTGACATTTGTGTTTCATTACTTACAAACAAGAACTCACTTGATGAACTTGAAAACATCAAAGAATGTGTTTCATCTATTTTCAACATTTTCTTCAGTGCACTTGAAATTATCGAACTTGACAAGTATCTTTGTGAGAAGATTTCTAAGATCATGTTTTTCTTCTCTAAATTTAGTTGTATCGACGAAGTTTATTATACATGTCTTTGTTAGTTAAGTCACATGGATCCACTTTTTTTTCAATCACTTTTGTTCTGTTTTAGTTGTTTTTATTTCAACACGTTGTTTTTATGCAGTAATTGACATCTTCAACATTCTTTCAGAACGTCTTCATCGTGAACATTCTAACATCCTTTTACAAATTCCAAGTTGTCTTTTCTCGGTTAGATCTCTCACTTTGAACGACAGAGACTCAGTTTTATCTCATCTTTCAAGTCTTATTCCAGATCTTTTGAATCTTTTCATCAATAAATCTCTTTCATCTAACTTCATCTGATCATTTGACTTCAAACATATGTGTTTTTGTCTTTTTATTTTCCACGACATTGATCTCAAACATGAAAAGATTTTCAAAGTTCTCACTCAAAAAAAATAATAGAATTATAAAAATATCGAAGTCATTGATTCACCTATTGTTTTAAGATGAATAAGCTTCGAAATGATTTTATTAAGATTTTCAATGTTATTTCCAAATAGACAGAGTTCTGTAGAATAAAGATGAAGTTCAATTGAAATGTCTTTATTTGGTCCAATTGAAACTTGTTGACCTTCTGGAAATAATTTTTCTTGTGTATCAATATATGAATTAGAAACTGTAATTGTATATCTTGAACGATAATAATCATAATCATAAATTCCAAACAAATAACATCCATTCCGTTTGTTAGTTGCAATGAAACAGTTTTCAAATGTAGCAGAACAACTAGCACAAAAAAACATTCCAGTATAATCATAATCTTCAGAAACAGTGTTGTTTGTGAAAACAATGCTGTTACATGTTGCTGGTTTGGATCCTACACAGCAAATTCTGGATGTTGCATGGTTTTCATCAATATTCGAATATTTGATTGAAATAGTGCCTTTGCCATCTCCTATTCCAAAAGCCGCATAATGTCCGCAATAGTTTCTCGTGACATTGTTTTGGAAAAATGAATTATTGCCATATTGTAAAACAATTGTACTATATCCGACTAATTTTCCTTGATTACTATATGTGATAGAAGAATCTTGGATTTCATTGATATTAGTAGAAGCATTTGAAACTTTAATATAACAGAACTTTCCAAAGTCGGTAGATTTGGATCCAAAACTACAAACTTTTCGAATGGAACTTTGGCCTTGATTGATGTAGATGGAACCACCATCGCCGTTGCGGGATGAGTTTTCGAATGAATTTGATGAAATAAGAGACTTAACATCGGCAGAATTAAGGTTGATAACACCGTCGTCGCCAAGGTTACTGAAATAGACTTCACGGACATAAAAGTTGCCTGTGTAACCTATGTATGTTTGATTTTTATTGTAGATTTCAGAACTAAACGTAGTTTTGTAGACTTCTTCCCATTCATTCTTCGTGAAATGGAGCAAATTCGAGATATGTGATGCTCTTTTTCTATCATGTTACTCCGAATGAAATAAATATTTGATAAAAGAGAGATTTTGAAAGTTTGAAACTTTTATAAAAATAATAAATTTTGGGGAATAAATAATTTTTATTGGGTCCAAAATTTTACAAAATTTTCATAATTCTCTCTGAGTCACAAGAATAGTATTAAACTTAATCACTATTTCATTTCTATAGTATCACTGTATCTGTACACCTTTCAATAATCAGAAATCGTTTAAACAATGAATTTTCATCGAAAGAATACAAACATTGACAAAGCCACATCTGATTTTTACAAACTATTATTACATGACTAAGCTTATCAATTTTGAATATATAAAAAGCAGTCAATGTTTAAAAAACTTCGAAAATTAAGGATAAAAGATTCTTTTCTTCAAGTTAAAGACATTTTGTCATTAGGTTCTCAGTATTATAATGGGTGTATATCAATTGTAACACACTGCATAGATAATCAAATATATTCACCAGTAATTTTCGAGTTTTTAATAAACGTTCAACAGTTCATCAGATCTTGAATTAAAAGTCAATATCGAGCACATTATCCGATATTTTAATCAAAACAAAAATTTGTGACGAAAACTTAACAACTTTTTACAAAGAGTGCTTACAACAAGAAATAATAATGAAAACCTTCCAATATTGAACGCATTATTACCATGTACATCACTTTGCATGTTTAAATGAGACTCTTTCAACCTTTTACAGAATCACTTTTCTTTCGTTGCCTAAATGTGTCCTCTTCCTCATATCGAATACAACTGCGTTACACTTTCTTCATTCTCACAACATTTGGCTTTAGAATTAAAGTGTTTACTTTTTCTTGAAGACTTTCTCAGTCAGAACTACTAATAATAAGAATAAGAATATCTTTATCAATAATTTACAGATTGTTACTTCATCATTGATTCCGAAGTTCATGTCCTTTCATGCATCAGCCACTGTTTACTTGATTACGACAAAATCGAAACATTTTCTCATTATTTTATTTCATACATTGAATTCATTAACTACGAAGATTCTATTTGTTCATTATTTGTTAACATTTTAATCAATTATTCCTTTGTTTCAAACATCAGTTTATGTTTTCAAAGAGATTTATCTTTCATAGTTACATTAAATATTCATCACTTTTCATTCTTACTTTCATCCTTAGTCATTACAACCAATATGTTTTTTGACTGTTCTATTCCACAATCTAACGAATTTTCTCTTTCTCAGTAGTTCAAGTACTTGATTGAGTACGAGTCCGATTTTTCACCAACTATTGTTTCAGAGTCACTTGACTACGATTACTCATTCATTTTTTATTTTAATTTTTTTTACACACTTTCACATATTGAACTTTTCTTTCGAGATTCTACTATTTTATCCGTTATTTCTATGATCAACGTTGTTTGTGACAACATCAACAACGAATTCATTACCGACATTCTTTTCCTTCTTGTCAAACTTTCTCCACATAGTTTTGTAGATGTTTTAGATTATTTTTTTTATCTACACTTGTTTGTCTTTTAAAACAATTTTACATAAATCACACATTGTATTGTATCATTTTTTCATGTTTTGTATCATTGTCTAAATTTCCATAATTCCACAGTTTTGTTGTTAACCTAGTTTGTCCAGTTGTTTTTAGTCTTCTTTCAGACTCTACATCAGTCTTCTGTGGTATTGACATTTGTGTTTCATTACTTACAAACAAGAACTCACTTGATCAACTTGAAAACATCAAAGAATGTGTTTCATCTATTTGCAACATTTTCTTCAGTGCACTTGAAATTATCGAACTTGACAAGTATCTTTGTGAGAAGATTTCTAAGCTCATATTTTTCTTCCATAAATTTATTTGTATCGACGAAGTTTATTATACATGTCTTTGTTAGTTAAGTCACATGGATCCACTTTTTTTCAATCACTTTTGTTCTGTTTTAGTTGTTTTTATTTCAACACGTTGTTTTTATGCAGTAATTGACATCTTCAACATTCTTTCAGAACGTCTTCATCGTGAACATTCTAACATCCTTTTACAAATTCCAAGTTGTCTTTTCTCGGTTAGATCTCTCACTTTGAACGACAGAGACTCAGTTTTATCTCATCTTTCAAGTCTTATTCCAGATCTTTTGAATCTTTTCATCAATAAATCTCTTTCATCTAACTTCATCTGATCATTTGACTTCAAACATATGTGTTTTTGTCTTTTTATTTTCCACGACATTGATCTCAAACATGAAAAGATTTTCAAAGTTCTCACTCAAAAAAAAATAATAGAATTATAAAAATATCGAAGTCATTGATTCACCTATTGTTTTAAGATGAATAAGCTTCGAAATCATTTTATTAAGATTTTTAATTTTATTTCCTGTTGGACAGAGTTCTGTCGAATGAAGATGAAGTTCAATTGAAATGTCTTTATTTTGTCCAATTGAAACTTGTTGACCTTCTGGAAATAATTTTTCTTGTGTATCAATATATGAATTAGAGACTGTAATTGTATATCTTGAACCTGCAATTCCAAACAAATAACAATCATTCCGTTTGTTAGTTGCAATGAAACAGTTTTCAAATGTAGCAGAACAACTACCACAAAGAAACATTCCAGGATAATCATAATCTTCAGAAACAGTGTTGTTTGTGAAAACAATGCTGTTATATGTTGCTGGTTTGTATTGTACACAACAAATTCTGGATGTTGCATAGTTTTCATCAATATTCGAATATTTGATTGAAATAGTGCCTTTGCCATCTCCTATTCCAAAAGCCGCATTATATTTGCAATAATTTCTTGTGATATTGTTTTGGAAAAATGAATTATTGCCATATTTTAAAACAATTGTATTATATCCGACTAATTTTCCTTGATTACTATATGTGATAGAAGAATCTTGGATTTCATTGATATTAGTAGAAGCATATGAAACTTTAATATAACAGAACTTTCCTAGGCCGGTAGATTTGGATCCAAAACTACAAACTTTTCGAATGGAACTTTGGCCTTGATTGATGTAGATGGACCCACCATCGCCGTTGCGGGATGAGTTTTCGAATGAATTTGATGAAATAAGAGACTTAACATCGGCAGAATTAAGGTTGATAACACCGTCGTCGCCAAGGTTACTGAAATAGACTTCACGGACATAAAAGTTGCCTGTGTAACCTATGTAAGTTTGATTTTTATTGTAGATTTCAGAACTAAACGTAGTTTTGTAGACTTCTTCCCATTCATTCTTCGTGAAATGGAGCAAATTCGAGATATGTGATGTTCTTTTTCTATCATGCTACTCCGAATGAAATAAATATTTGATAAAAGAGAGATTTTGAAAGTTTGAAACTTTTATAAAAATAATAAATTTTGGGGGAATAAATAATTTTTATTGGGTCCAAAATTTTACCAAATTTTCATCATTCTCTCTGAGTCACAAGAATAGTATTAAACTTAATCACTATTTCATTTCTATAGTATCGTTACATCTGTATATCTTTTAATAATCAGAAATCGTTTAAACAATGAATTTTCATCGAAAGAATACAAACATTGACAAAACCACATCTGATTTTTACAAACTATTATTACATTACAAAGCTCATCAATTCTAAATATATAAAAAGCAGTCAATTTGTTTAAAAAGCTTCTAAATTTAAGGATAAAAGATTTTTTTCTCAAGTTAAAGACATTTTGTCATTAGGTTCTCAGTATTATAATGCGTGTATCTCAATTGTAACATATTGCATAAATAATCAAATATATCAACCAGTAATTTTCGAGTTTTTAATAAACGTGTTCAACAGTTCATCAGATCTTGAATTAAAAGTCAATACATCGAGCATATTATCCGATATTTTAATCAAAACAAAAATTTGTGACGAAAACTTAACAACTTTTTACAAAGAGTGCTTACAACAAGAAATAATAATGAAACCCTTCCAATATTGGACGCATTATTACCATGTACAATCACTTTGCATGTTTAAATGAGACTCTTTCAACCTTTTACAGAATCACTTTTCTTTCGTTGCCTAAATTGTCCTCTTCCTCATATCGAATACAACTGCGTTACACTTTCTTCATTCTCACAACATTTGGCTTTAGAATTAAAGCGTTTACTTTTTCTTGAAGACTTTCTCAGTCAGAACTACTAATAATAAGAATAAGAATATCTTTATCAATAATTTACAGATTGTTACTTCATCATTGATTCCGAAGTTCATGTCCTTTCATGCGTCAGCCACTGTTTACTTGATTACGACAAAATCGAAACATTTTCTCATTATTTTATTTCATACATTGAATTCATTAACTACGAAGATTCTATTTGTTCATTATTTGTTAACATTTTAATCAATTATTCCTTTGTTTCAAACATCAGTTTAAGTTTTCAAAGAGATTTATTTTTCATAGTTACATTAAATATTCATCACTTTTCATTCTTACTTTCATCCTTAGTCATTACAACCAATATGTTTTTTGACTGTTCTATTCCACAATCTAACGAATTTTCTCTTTCTCAGTAGTTCAAGTACTTGATTGAGTACGAGTCCGATTTTTCACCAACTATTGTTTCAGAGTCACTTGACTACGATTACTCATTCATTTTTTATTTTAATTTTTTTTTACACACTTTCACATATTGAACTTTTCTTTCGAGATTCTACTATTTTATCCGTTATTTCTATGATCAACGTTGTTTTTGACAACATCAACAACGAATTCATTACCGACATTCTTTTCCTTCTTGTCAAACTTTCTCCACATAGTTTTGTAGATGTTTTAGATTATTTTTTTATCTACACTTGTTTGTCTTTTAAAACAATTTTACATTAATCACACATTGTATTATATCATTTTTTCATGTTTTGTATCATTGTCTAAATTTTCATAATTCCACAGTTTTGTTGTTAGCCTAGTTTGTCCAGTTGTTTTTAGTCTTCTTTCAGACTCTACATCATTCTTCTGTGGTATTGACATTTTTGTTTCATTACTTACAAACAA